GCAGGGCCCGGCCGGGCCCCGGCTCCTTTCCCCGGGGGGCACCAGCTGCAGCTACGCCAGCGAGGACAGCAGCCAGGAGGAGGAGGAGGAGGAGGAAGAGGAGGAGGAGGAAGAAGAAGAAGAGCCCGAGGTGGACGTGGAAAGCCACAAGCCTCCGGAGGAGGAGGAGGAAGAGGAGGAGGAGGAGGAAGGAGAAGACCAGGAGCGGGAGGGAGGCGAGAGGGATCCGGTGGATCCAGTCGGGGGCACCGGCCGCTACCCCTCCAGCCGAGGGTTAACGGACAAGGGCCTCGCCCGGGACGGGCCCGAGGAGGAGAAATCCGGGCCCCCCAATTCGGACCAGCCTCCTCCTCCTCCTCCTCTGCCCCCTTGCCCCCCAAAAGGGGGCAGCAGCAGCAGCAGCAGCAGCAGCGGAGGGAGCAGCCCGGCGCACCATCCATCAGCCGAGGAGCACCAGCCCCCGCCGCCGCCGCCGCCCCCCTACAAAGATGTAAATACCCCTTTAGGCTCCTTCAAGCCAATTATTTTTATTGAAATGCGCCTCGAGGCTCCGGCGCTCCCCGATGCGGGAAGAGGAAGATGGATGGCAACGGGGGTGGGTGGGTGTTGAAGCTCCTTTCAAACCGCCCCGCACCACTTTTTCCTCTTGTGTGCGCGTGTATGCCCACCCAGTTTAAAAAAGAAAGAAATCGCCCACCTTTCCCTCTCTGCTGGGATACTTCTAGCTGCGGGTGGGGGGGAAGGGGGGGCGGGTCACCCCTTCTCTTTCTGCAGAGACTCGGTCTGTGTCGGTCAGTTCTTGGGATCAAGGACCAGCCCCGTTCCCAAGTCAGAAAGCAGGGGAGCAGTGCTTGAGGAAAGAGGGTGCAGGATCGAGCCGTTTAGACCCGATGGTCCGAAACGGACTTGTTTGTCGCCTCTGCAATCGGAGGGGGGACCTACAGAGGAGTCGCTACACTAAATCCCTTCTGATTCAGTGAGTCGACTTCAGCGACCGGATTTCAGCCACAGAGGCACCCCATGGGTTTAGGTCTAGCCTAAATGAGCCACCGGGGAGGGCCTGAGATTTTGAGCCCTCTCCAAAGAACAGCAGTAGTGGAAGCCATCAGCAAAGTAAACCAGGGATCCTTATTGCTTTGCTGGCACTGGTTCAGAGAGAAATGAGCATCACATTTACATCACATGTTGGTCTAGTTCCTTGGACCCTACACTTTATACCATCTCTGCCTGGTGAAGAGATCTGGTCAACTCAAAATTACACCTTGTTTGCAACATTTTAAAGGTATTGGAAGTTAATGCGTCCATCAAGTCAATTCCTAACAGGGTTTCCCAGTACAAAGGCAAAGTAGGTTACGTCTTTATAGATCAGGTATGCATGATATTCAGGGGGTGGTTTTTCCAATGACACACTGAATTTCCATGACCCAGTGGGGTTTCGAACCCAAATCTCATGAGTCTGACACTCTATCTGCCTACACCATGCTACATCTCACAGGTCCTGGAATAATGAGGGAGGAGGATAGTGGCAATGATGATAGAAGTAGCAAGAGGAAAAACTGTTTGGAATAACACACCTTTTAGGATGATGTCATGAGACCTTGATAATCTAGCATATTTTAACCAGGGATCCCCGTACCAGCTCTCATTGATATGTCCCATGTCCCATTGACATCAATGGGATCTTTAAAGAGCTGGATTTGATTGGAACATAGCCTTGTGGGTCCCCCCCTTCCCTCTGCCATAATCCAATTAATTTGAAATAAATGCACCCGTTGTCCTAAGAGTCTGGCACACATGCCCTCGGGCATAATCCAACATGCTTCAAGACCCATTTCTTTTGCATTGGAAGTTCTGCACAATTGGTGAGATTCCTCAGTAGAAAGCCATCACAAATGGAATGATCCAATTAATTTGAAATAAATGCACCCGTCGTCCTAAGAGTCTGGCACGCATGCCCTTGGGCGTAATCCAACATGCTTCAAGTCCCATTTCTTTTGCATTGGTGGGATTCCTCAGTAGAAAGCCATCACAAACGGAATATGCTTGCATTGGACTGGGATTGGGTCCATTGTCATGACAGTGACGCTGCCCTTGGCATCAACAGGAAATGGCCCCATTAGGTTACTAGTTGACCCCAAAGAAAAAGGGGCGTAGGTACATTTCGGAAGGCACACAAGGCCATTTGCCCACAGGGCAACCTGGTTTTAAACAGATTCACTAGCATAATTTGCAATGCTGGCTTTCCTTAATGTTCATTTTTCAACTGTAATCTCTTACCCCAATCCCGCTTGACAGTAAATTCTATCCGTCTTGATGAGACTTTGTTCTGAATAGGCACACATAGGCACCAACCCCATAGACCGGTGGTTCCCAGCCTTGAGTAACCAAGATGTTCTTGGACTAAAACTCCCAGCAGCCTTTGCCACTAGGTTGTGCTGGCCAGGACTTCTGGGAGTTGGAGTCCCAGAACATCTGGGGACCCAAGTTTGGGAACCCCTGCTATAGATTTAGCCATAAGTAAATTACTTATGTTTACAAACCACAGTTGACACACTGAATCTCACAACATTGTGTTGTATTGCAGAGCCTGGGAAATGCCTGGGCTTCCAGGTGGTTTTCTTTTTTCTTTTTCTTTTTGGACTTCAACTCCCAGAAGCCCAAATGAGCATGGCCCTTTGCAATGGATTGTGGGAATTGCTGTCTGAAGCCTCTGAAGGCCCCCTTTCCCCTGCGGTGCTGGTTTCTCTTTGGAACAAGAGTGGTTCTCAAAGGAGAAAGTCTGTTTGCAGACAGTTTTCCTACTTTTAATAGGACTACACCCTGGAATCTGTTTGTGTGAGCTGCTTCTCTCTTTTTAGTACCAAACCAACAAGATGCCATTTTGAGAGCTTAGTGGAGTCTATCTGCAGTATCTTGACCCCTCTTACACTTCCAGGACTATGAACGTGCGTTAAATCTTCCTTATCTGCAACCACTGAAACTGGAAACAGGGTTTCCAGATTGTAGCACTTCAAGATGGTGGGTCACGTTACTGAATGCTGCTCCATCCTGCCCGAAACAGAGATAGACATGATCATCTCTTCCTGCAGAAAGCTAGTGTGTCAGGGAGGAAGCAGGATTAAGATCTTTCTGTCCAAAATGCTTGTTGTTGTTGTTGTTGTCGTCATAATTGTTGTTACAGTGGACCCTCTACTTACGGAATTAATCTGTATTGGAACGGTGGCTGCAAGTCGAAAAGTCTGTAGGTCGAATCTCCATTGACCTACAATGCATTGAAAATTGATTAATCCCATAACTGGCAGTTTTTATTCTATTTTTGTTCCATTTTGGTTTTTTTCTGGTCTGTAAGTCGATTCTCCGTCTGCAAGTCGAATCTAAATTTTGCAGCCAGAGAAGTCTGTAACTCGAAAAGTCTGTAAGTCGAGCCGTCTGTAAGTCGAGGGTCCATTGTAGTAGTACTCATAAACCCAACAGCTCATGATCAGCTAACCTGCCCCAACTGTTTCCATATCTTCTGCACTAGCCTTGGGCTAGTTAGTCACCTGTGCGCCCATCAATGTTCTACTGCTCAACCTCAGCTGCTCACATCTTCTCCTTTTTTTCACCTAAATGGTAGATCTGATGGAGGTGGTCGTCTTTGCAAAACGAAGAAGGAACTATCAGTAGTATTATTGTTACTATGTGCCACCAGTTGGCTTCTGTGTAACAGTGACCCTTGAGATTTATGACCTTCAGAAGGCTCTATTATTGACAGCCCTGCTGAGGTCTTGCAAATTAAAGGCTGAGGTTCCTTTTCCTGAATGAAGTCATCTCACAATCACTCTTCCTCTTTTCTTCCTGTTCTTCCCTAGCATCATTTCCTTTTCTGGTGAATCTTATCTTTTCATGATGTCCAGAGGAAGACATCCTCAGTACAGGGATCTGGATCTCACCTTCTTGTCAGAGTAATCACATTAGCAGTAAAAAGTCAGCTAAGGACATAGAGAAAGCAGCCAACAGTCCCTTCCCCTGTGGGGTCCCTGTTATTTGCAACCTTAGTTTAGACAGGGGCAGACGTTTGATTACAACCGATGGTAGGTCTCCCAGTGGTCCATAATGGATATGCAAACACTTTGGATCCCTAGTAGTTTGATGGTAAGGTAAAGGTAAAGGTTCCCCTTGACAGTTTTTGTCCAGTCGTGTCCGATTCTAGGGGGCGGTGCTCATCCCCGTTTCCAAACCATAGAGCCAGCATTTTGTCCGAAAACAATCTTCCCGTGGTCACATGGCCAGTGCGACTTAGACACGGACCGCTGTTACACTTCCCACCGAAGTTGTCCCTATTAATCTACTCGCATTTGCATGCTTTCGAACCGCTAGGTTGGCGGGAGCTGGGACAAGCGACGGGAGCTCACTCCATCGCGTGGATTCGATCTTACGACTGCTGGTCTTCTGACCCTGCAGCACAGGCTTCTGCGGTTTAGCCTGCAGTGCCACCACGTCCCTTTTGATGGTAGAGGACATTTTTAAAAGCCTTTCCCTTTCCTACCGAACTTAAATCAAGAAATCTTGAGGGCAAACAAGAATATATCTGTCTAGGCATTGCGTGGGTGCTCAGAGACCCGTCCCCTCTTGTTTAGGCCCCTGTTTCTGAGTCACGATTTTGTATCCATGCTTTATTTTCAAGGAGTGGACCCTAAGAGTCTAATTTCAGAAGGACATTGTGGAGAGGGGGGAAAAACTGGGTCCCAGAAGCCCAAAACGGTAGCCCATCCCTTTCCACGCTCCCCTTCGAACCCAAAAAAAGCCAGCCAAATTGCAACACTTGACACGCTAAGTCTGAAAAAGGATATCGTCTCAAGGGAAAAGGCGAAGAAGAAAACGGGATAAAAATGATCATGGACTGGGAGCTGAGCCAACTGTCCAGAAAGAAAGATCACTAGGTTTAGGACATTTGTTGTTGTTGTTTTGCGGGGGGGGGGGGTTAAAGAAAGGAAGAAGTCATGAGATAGATTTTACCTCTTCCAGGCAGTGTTTTAGATCACAATTTCTCACCCTCCTGCTTTAAAGAAGGAATCTGAAGGCAGGGAGATCCAGATAGCTTTATTTCCCCACCCTCTGTCACCCTGCCTTGTTTCCTTCCTGCAAATTATTCCTTAAAGAGGGAAAGAGGGACAGTGGCCCTTTAGCCTTTGAGTGCGGGTGGTACGAGCTGCCTGCCTGGAAGCACTCCCAGACCTTGAATGGGGCAGCTCTCCTCCAAGGACATGGACTGGTTGGAGATTATACCATAGATAACACTATGCTGTTGGAACTCTCTGCCACATGAGATCCATAAAGGAAAAGCTTTGTGAACAAGTAGTCGTTCCGGATCCTATATGCAGGCACCCCTCCTCCCCTGATTTGTTTGTTGCTTAAACTACAATTCCCAAAATCCCCCTCACCCATCTTGATAGGTTTCTAGTAACTTCTGCAAGTTCTGGGTGTGGATATATGTATCGTAGGAGACAGGCCTCATCATGATTTCATTCAAGACCTTTTAATTTCAATGGGCCTACTCTAACAATGGAGAAACTAGGTACCTTGCAGATCTTTGTCCTGGGCTGCAACCACATTGGGCGTGTTAGCTGGGAAGGATGGGCATTGTAGTCCAAGGGACCTACAAGCTGAGGAAAGCAAAGCTAAACAGATATTCCTTGTGGGTGGTCTTCTGATAGTTATTTATTCTTCCCTTCCCCCTTGCAACCTCTAGCATGTTAATAAGCATGTGCGGTCAAGTCAATTCAAAGTTATGGTGACCCTTTACAGGATTTTTCAAGTTAACAGAGTTCTCAGAAACATTTTGCTATTTCCTTCTCCCGGGGGGGGGGGCAAGCTCTGGGACTGTGCAGCCAGCCCAAGGCCACCCAGGCTGGCTCTGCTTGCAGGAAGCACAGTGGGGGAT